CTGTGAGTCTCATCATTTGGGACATTTAACAATGGACTATCAAATCTACTGGCAGAGAACAATCTTGCACCTTCCCCCGCCCCAGGATAGACTAGAGAGAATAGGCTTTCTCCATCTCCAGTTTCTACAAATATCAAATCAGTGCCCAGAAAGCAGGCAGGTGAAATCAAGCCTGGGATGCAAAGAACATGAGGGGAAGGAGGGAAACCTGCCAAAGAGAGAGAACACAGGGCAGGAAAGCTGAAACTGCACATGCCTTTCAGTAGATTGATCTCCGAGAGAGTGGAGCTGCCCCAATGGGGCTGGAAACACAGTCAGTGATCAGATATACGGTACCAGGAGAATGGTAGTGTCTCCTTTTAATACCATGATGGCTAGGTGAACAAAGATTGGTACTATTGCTACTGTCCCTGTTACTCCTGGGGATGGTGGACCTGTGTATGTGTGTCTGCAATGTTCCTGGGTTGAAGGCACTGTTGTATGTGTACATGGGTGTGAGTGTGTATTGACCTATATGTGTATATGCATGTGTTTTAAAATGGGTATATATATCCAGCAATGCATCTGCATCCATGTCAGCATATTAGTAGCATGTCTCTCTGTGTAAAACACTGCTGTATTCAAAAGTGCTTTACCAGTGTGTGTGTGTGTGTATGTTTGTGTTTGTGTGCATGCACATGTACCTGTGTATGCATCTGGCAATGCTGCTCCGTTTGAAGCTCTCACTCTTTTCTCCTAACTCCCCCTGCCTCCTCTCTTCTTTCAGTGGGGTCACACACAGTGTCTGATTCATCAGTGAAGCATAGAAGAGACAGGCGCTGTGACACAAAGGCTGAATTCTGTGGGTTTGGGGTGGAGGGGGACCCGTATCTGCTTTAGATATGTCCTTTCAAGATGAGATCAGAGCTGCTGATTTGTTTATCTGTGAAAGCTGCCTTGCTAACATCCATGCTACGTAAAGCTTGGAGGTGTTGGCACTGGATCCCTGCACCACAGGCCATGGGGCACTGTCCTGCTCAGTAGATGGGCAGTCAAGAAGGGATCAAAGTTCCTGCTTTGTTCGTGGGATTTCTGGATCAACCACTTCGGGAATTTGTGGAGCATTTTCTGCTACTCTTAACAATAGCTGCGGCAAGGGAGGGGCAAACTGCTCACAATGCAAACTCCACAACTGAGTGGAACTTGCTGATGAAGAGGGTTATGAAGGAATCAAGGGGTCCCCTACCATCCATGACATTTGGGAATGTGGCTGTGAGTTTCCTATCCTTAGTAATTATGATAGTGTCCAGGGGACCATATCTGGTGTCTGACTGTTCTTGAAAGTGGTGTGGGCAGAGCACTGTAAAGCAGATATGTACAAAGGCACAGCGGTGATGAACTGTCATGCTTCAAGGTGTAGGGAGATCAGTCGGCAAGGGGTAGGGGGAAATCCCTATCAGTCCTCATATGCAGCATTGCGGAGTTGGTCAAGGGCATCGAGTATACAGGCAGGATAGTGGACTTGATAGACCACCAGCGTCTGCGCTCACAGACCATCTCTCTGCGTTTCAGCTCTTTGAAGGAAACAAAGGGCAATGGGTAGGGTACACAGGAAGGCTGTGGATTTGATTGCAATCCAACAAGCTTGGCTGAATGTTTAAAATGAAGGGACTAGTGTACCCAGTAGGAGAACACTTCAACCTCTCTGGTCACTCAGTAACAGACTTAAAGGTGGCAATTTTGCAACAGAAAAGCTTCAAAAACAGACTCCAAGGAGAAACTGCTGAACTTGAACTGACATGCAAACTCAGTACCATCAATTTGGGTTTGAATAGAGACTAGGAATGGCTGAGCCATTATACGCATTGAATCTATTTCCCCATGTTAAGTATCCTCACACCTTCTTGTCAAGCTGTCTGTAATGGGCTATCTTGATTATCACTGTAAAAGTTTTTTCTCTTAATTAATTAGCCTCTTAGAGTTGGTAGGGCAACTCCCACCTTTTCATGTTCTCTGTATGTGTATATATATCTCCTTACTATATGTTCCAGTCTATGCATCCAATGAAG